TTTAAAGGCTTCAAGAGTTAAAAGTAATGAAAGACATTCTTAATGTAATGGGCAGCAATGACTCACCTTTCTGACCTTAATGTTCTAAAAATTAGTGTTTGCTGTCAGTATACTTTACTCTTCCCAACAGTCTGGGAATATGGAGTAATTGTATCATTTAAAAATGCATACAAACTTAGAGCCTTTGTTTTACATGTTTATGTTGTTGTGTAATTATAAAAGGATATATTTAGTTTTGCTTCAATATTTGTTTTTGTTACGTAAGTTTTCTAAACTGAAGGTGAGGAAACGTTGAAAATGTAGCGAAAATGCTCAGTGTTATGGCTCTGTCTTAATGGCTTCCCTCATTTTGGATTATATAGGCATTTTATTTTATTTTGCTAGACAATGTTGATTTACAAAGGGCGCTAAGGTTGCAACTTAGCCAGTCATAACAATAACTTTAACACCACACAAAGACAATATTTATTTAGTAACCTAGTTCATTTCAACCTCAGTGTTACTTGCATGATCCAGCTGCACTCTGAAATCTGAGGATTCTGAACTGGATCTTGGGCATCAGACTGTGGATTCTGAGCTACGCTTGAGAGATGGTTTTGTATTCCTATGGTATTTAGAAAATCCCACAAAAAAGGCAGTGCCAACACTCAAGTGAAATGCCATAGGTTCAAAATACTTGGATTTACTGGCTGGCTGATGGACAAAAATTGAGTGTGACCACATCTAAAGGTGCTAAGCCCTTAACTTTACAGAAAGATAATTCTCAAGTTTCACATCCGTAACGACTGTTATGGACACTACAAGTCATGTGTGTACAGGAGATCCCATTCACATGCAAACACAGACCATGGGGGCACTTGCAACTTTTAACAGTTTTCAACCTGCCTGGGAAGATTTATACTGTCGATCATCACACTGGTATCTGAATTATTTCCAGGTAAAACCTAGTAGCAGCACAAAAGACCTTCAAAGCTATCATGAGGTGTCTCACAAATGTTTTGGGGGTTATAAAACTTCTAGTTAGAACAAGACAATATTTTCATTTGTTTGTTATCTTCAATTTGGTTTTCTTAGGCATTAACAGGAAAGAGGATGTTATCATTATCTTGCAAGATAAAGTATAATGCTCAGTTTTATATTTATATTGGCATACATATACACATCTCCACTGAAATATTCTTATTTTACACTGGTAAAAGCAAGGCCAGATTTTGGCCCAGCATCTTTTGAAATCTCTAACATACATTCCCTGGTTCTGAAAGGCAACTTTCATCTGGCTGCTTGGAAGATCTCCAAGAGTTTGTGCTCTGCAAGGTTTGCAAGGGATTAACTGCATACTCTTGTGCCTTTAGAATCAATACAACATATGGATTGGCCTCATCTTCTTGAGTTGCCACTGACTGCACAGGGAATATTTGTACAATTCAGGAAGATGTAATTGGGCTTAAAGCCTCTGTGTTTTTTATGTGCAGAAGTTAATTTATGTGAATACATTAATGTTCATACATCAGTCATTTCACTGGGTCATCTGCCAAAGAGAGTGCCAAGATTTTGCCTATATGTACAAAGATGAACGTGAGCCTTGAGAGCCCTCTAGACCCAAGACATTTTAAAATAGTCAATGCTTACTTAATCATTTTATATTGTTAATAGATCAATCGGTGTTCTTGGTTTTGGTACCAGCATATGTTTTCTAATATTAAAGTTCTTAAATACAGAAGAACAATTGCATTTCAAATCATCAGAACAGACACATTTGTTAACAGCTGTACTGCTTTGTACTGAGGTATTAAAATAGAGATGTCCGGAGTCTCCACCTGAGTTTGTGAGCTGTTAATGATGCAAAATAGTTTTAAAATAGTCAGAAATAAAAGTACAGTGTAAGACAACTCTATGCAAATCACTAGGACTATTTTGTAGCAAAAATTTCTTGGGTAAAACAAAGGAAGGAGTATGGATGAAAACTGTGCCGGTAACAGGCTGTGGGCTGGGAGGATTGTGGTAGAAGGAGAAGCCTGGTGGTTCTCACCTGCGTGCTCTTCCAGCATCTGATCTAGGTTCTCACTGGTTCCAAAAAGGGTGGTTTGGCCTGTGGACGAGCCCTTCTGATGCTTTCTTCATGTCAGCTCTAGTGCTCGTGTCACAGCTTCAGCAAGCCAGGCCAGCCTAAAACATAATTCATCAAAAAAGCAATTAGTTTTTGGTCAGTGAACAGACTGGCCCAGTGTACAAGGGGATCAGTCAGGAACCAGAGTTGGCATAAGTGAGAAGAAGAGGCTGCAGGGCCAGGAACAGGGTGAAGGGAAGAGCACGACTGTCCTGCACAACAGTGAGCCATTCAGTAGAAGCAGTAGTACAATAAAACCTCTTTCTGATGACAACCATGGCCTGCTGGTTTAGTCATAGAAAACTCCACCTAGTCCCAATGGCTGTTAGTGTGCCTGAGCTGTGCTTTCAAACAGTGGAAAACTGAAGCTCAAGAGAGGGAAACTCCTGAGTTAGCTGAGGTCAAGGTTTAAGCATTATTTTTTTGTCTAGGACCTCAGTTAAGTTTTACTGGTTTTCAGTGTAGCTTTTAGGCATAAGGAAGCTAATTTGCCTTTAGTAAAAAAAGGTACAACTGCATACTATTCAAAGTATTCTTTTGCTATATTTAATTATAAGTCCTTTCATATGCTTTTACCTTTAAGAATTCATTAGGACTGGAATTCTTAAACTGTGGTCTATGGTGCATTTTGTAGAGGCCTGTGAAGTTGTTCTGTAGTTTTAGGTCTGCTTAAAAGGCAGCTAAAATACACTAAATATTTTTCTAGTGTGGCTTTTCCTTACAAACAACTACTGCTTTTAACACTGGATTTTGTGATCACTAGATAGATGAGGAATCACCTCAGAAGAGAGGTACTCTCTGAAATAGAAATGTTCCATGTTAAAAAATAATATAAACTATGAAAGTTTAAAAACACTTGATCGATGGCTTTGCACTCCTAGTAACATTGACCTTCAGTGGCTTGAAATACTATTGTAATTTTTCAATTTGCCATTATGAAATCTGGATTTCATAAACATATTATTATCTTTCCATTATGATTACTTATTCCCTCTAAGGTCTACAATGCTTTTCTATAACATCTAAATGGAAATGGGATTAGGATGAGATTCTGTCACTCGGGGGATTTGTGGAAAAAGGTGGGGATATGCACAGAAAAGGTCATTTCTTAGGGGCGCAATGAATAAAACGACACCGAGTTATGAAGAAGGACAGCAATAACAGTATTAGCAATTTTGCATGGTTTTAAATTGATTGGTTTATGTTGGAGATACTAACACTGGAGAACAATGCACTGTTATTTTCTTGCCTTTCATAATATCTTTAAATAAAAAAAATCAAGTTCTTAAGAAATCTACGTTATTTCAAGAAATTTTTTTTTGGTTACTGAGTGGTTTCATGTGTATTCTGTCTTCTGTGATTGTGCTTGCTGTCTGTCTGTTCATGGGAAAAGTTTACTAACAAAATCTAGCCTAGAAATTGTCACTTTCAAGTGTTTGGTCTGCATACTGTTTGTTTTGTCATTCAAGTAATGCTTTTTTTTTTTTTTGATTACTTAACTGGCTGAATGCAAGAACTGAATGGACAAATAATTAATAACAAACTTCACTATGATTCTTCTGGCAAACAATGATTGTAATTAAATTAGTAAAGGTGGCCTGTGGCTGAAAGATCAGATCAGGACTCCTTTGCCTGAAGAACTATACCTGTCAAACCTCTTTCTTGCTTTTATGTTGTTGTTTTCCTGTTTTAAAAATGCTGAAGCCTGTGTGCCAGATCAAAATAACATGATGTTTCAAGTAATTGCATTTCTGTACAAAGTTTAAAAGTGTGCAGTATATACAGTGTAAGATAATACTTAATGTTCTCTGGGCCCCAGTACTAAAATATTTTATGGTTCTGATATTACAGTATTTTTATTTAGACACATTACTCCATAACTGCACTTGGCTAAAGTGACTTGACATTTCTTTTAATGTCAGAGACTAAGATAAACATGGCCAAAAGAAGGAGGAAAAAAACGTGTCTTCAGTTTTGCATTTGATGCAATTAAGAAATAATCTCTGTACCTGGTAAAGTACAGAGATACTTCACAATTAAATAAGGTAATTGCTAGTGTAATGCATATTGAGAAAAAACACTCAAGAGAAGAAATGTTTTGATCAAAATGAAATTAATAGATAATATGAAGGATGCAATTTACTGTGTAGCATTGGATTAACTGCTCAAGGTGAACCATGCTGGGTATTGAAATGCACAGGAACAGCCTTAGGGGAGCGAACTCTGGACATACAGGTTAAACATGGTGGTATTTAAAACCTGTTTGTGCCTATATTTAGAAAATGTTTCTTGAATTGGTAACGGAGTCTTGCATTGTCCAAAGTTCTCTGGAGCAAAAACGGATGACTAGAGCAACAGTCTTGCAAAGAACTGAACTGCTAGAACATGTCTTTCTGAGGTACACTGATAATCTGCTGGAAGTCTGGAAATCATCAGTGACACTTGCAAAGTGTAAAAAAACATGTGAACCAGCACTGAAGATATGTTTTTATTAGCACGTATTCCTGAAAATCTCACTATGATGAATTTAAATGGCAAATCTTGGGACTCTTTCACCTCTCTAATGACTCTTCTTAGTGGATGGTGCGCCTGATGCTTGGGCAAATCATTGGCAGAATTTGGATACAGAACAGAGGAACTTTGGCAGCATACGAACAGAACACAAAAGACTTTAACATCTGGCTTAAATGAGCAAACAAGGCTTCACGTTCATTACCTCACATAGTAGCTATATTTCTAATAGCCACTACACCAATATAAAACTGCAAAGGGTTTGACCCCTTTTGACTCCTTGATGTCCATGCAATCCCCATGTACAAGTCTCCCAAGCTAAGGGAACAAGATCTAGCTGCAGGTATAAACATTTTTGTTGTTTTCTTTGCTTCTCTTTCAGTTCTCCTCTTGTCCCACAGCTACTGAGCTGCTGCCAGCAATCAGAGACAGTGGCTCTCCGACTGCCACAAAAACTTGCAGCCACTTCCCAGTTCCCCGGCCTGGAACAGCTGAGCTCCTGCTAATACTACCTTTTCTACGTTTTGCTGTGCCTTCTGTGCTCATTTCCACAGTGAGAAGCACTGGTTTAAAGATAGGAATGACTCAATGTGCACTGGAAGAAATAATCTCCTCTATTACAAGAGATGAGTAACTGGAAAAGTTGACAAGATTTAGTCACTTTAGTCACTCATACCATACCCAACAGCGGAGGCCTTATCACCTCAGCTATAAATATATGACCTTCTACAAACTTCAGTAATATATTGCGTGCTAATCAGATTGCATTTGCATTTGTTCCCAAGGGAAGCAGCCTTGGGGATTCTCAAGATTCAGTTGCTAGTTCTGCAACACACCTCTCAGGTGACTTCGGTAAGTCACCTATCCCTTTGTAAAACTGTCTTTTCTGTCTCAAACGTGTCTATTTAGGCAGAAACTGCCTCTGTGTTTTGTGTGATATGCAAAGTCTTAAGGCCTCCTGAAACATATATAATAAACCCCAAAGTTTTGTTTAAGTCTCTTTCCTCAGGCTTTCCCAAACACAGTGACTGTCAGGTCCTAGTGGCAGCCCACCCAGAAATGCGAGGAAGGTTTTTATCCCAACGCCTATGTGAGGGAGCAGAGGAGTTTTTATCACTCTAGATCTGTAGTGGCAGGAAACACACACTGATTCCTAGAAACGCCATGCATGAATGGAGCCAGAAGCAACCCCTTGCCTTGTCTTGGGTGGCACTGCCAATCTGCTTGGCGCAGCCGGTTGTGTATTAAGAGCTCGACGGTTCTCCTTAGCCCTGGGCGCTTGTCCCCTCAGGACGTGCTAAAGCGTGAGGAAAACGCGCGGCGGGGCTCCCGGGAAGCCGCGCTCCTCGGAATTCTAGAAGCTGCTCCTCGCCGCGGGAGTCTCCACAGGACTGCCCGCCTCAGGTAACGGTCGGCACGCGCCCACCCTAACGGCCGCGCCGCGCGCCCCTCCCTTTCCCTCAGGCGCGTGCGCCGGAGGGGGCGGGGCCTTCACCCGGCGGCGCGTCGGATTCGAACGGGCGGGGGGGGAGGAGTGGGGCGGCGTGGCGGGCGCGCGCGC